TGTGCTCTGACCAGGAATCAAACCAAGACCTCCTGGTTCATAGGTCGACAACACTCAACCACTGAGCCACACCAACCGGGTGAAACCAATGACTTTTTAATAAAGGCCAATGAATCTATCAGCGTAGAAAGGATGCATATTATTTTGCAGATGGAATTATTTGGGTCATGGGATTTATTGGCAAATGTTGCTTATAGTTATTTCTGATTTTCAAAGACTGTGTTTTGTTACATTCTATATGAAGCAATTTGGCCTCCTTCCTGTTAAAATCACCTTTCAGATCATGGTTGTTGTTTTTTTCAAGAGAATAAAACCAAATGTCATTTGAGATTTTTCCAAAATAGAACTTGGGGACTGTTTATGCCAGTGATCCACCAGCCCATCTCTGATGGGAGCTGCAAAACTTCATGTTGGTATATTTATGGGACCTTCAACTGAAGATGCTGCTCTACTAAAAAGGCCTATCCTGAAATCCTGTAGAGACATCAATTATTTACTAACCTGAGTCTGGTTTATTTCTGGCAAGTGACAAACACACAATTTTCATGATTTCATGTAACTTCTACTAAAACAATACCTTTTTAAAAATGTCAAGAACCAGTTTGTGATTTCAACAGGACATCAATGGATGGACTGACAAAGCAACCCCAGCCTAGGGCATAATGGCAAGTAACCTTGGCCTAACAACATGTAACCAACATCCTTCCTGGAGGGTAGGATTCACTTTTGATAGAAGAGCAAAGCCTTTTTGTTTCAAATTGTTAGCTGTGGGTCAACAAATATTTAACTGAGCATGTTATAAGGGACATAGTACTAGAACATAGAATCTTAAGTTACTAGGTCATCTGGTCCAACGCCTAATGTTTCTGGGATCCTTTCTACATCATCTTTGCTGAGCTCGTATCTAACCTCTACTTGAAAGACTATTACTGAAGCAGCCCCTTCCACAGTGAACATCGTATATAGAATGTTCTCAGACATGGAGCCCAACTCTGTGGCCCTATGGCCTCTATTTAATGGGCCTCAATACACCTCTTTGAACCAGAGCCTTGCTCTAACGCACTAATTGTATTCCCCCTCTTTCCCAAGCCAAATCTCCCAAAATCCTTCAAATATTCAAATGCCTTAAATTTTCAATTCCTTCACATCTTTGTTATGCCTCAATTTGTTTCTTATTTCAAAGTATGGCTTCCAGGAATGCTTATAACACTCCAACATCTTAGGAAAAGAGATGAAGTGTCATCTCCCTTGGTCTAACATTACTACATTAATTAGTTGCCTCAGGGGATGATAAGTTCTTAATTCAGTATACTTCCTACCCAATGTGAAGAATGTAAGAGAATTCAATTTTCCTTCCAAACACAGGCTCATGTGACAGAAATGAGACCTGAAAAGAAAACATCCCTCTCTTATCCCCAAATTAGTGTTCAACTATACTGCTATGACTGAAGGATGGGACACACATGGTTTTTTCACTGCTTTTGATTTTCTAGTTAAATGTTAGAAGTATTATTAGACTTGCATTAAAACACATCTGTCTGGCCTGGCCAGTGTTGCTCAGTGGTCGAGCATCGATCTATGAACCAGGAGGTCACAGTTTGATTCCCAGTCAAGGCACATGCCCAGTTGTGGGCTCAATCCCCAGTGTGAGGTGTGCAGGAGGCAGCCAATCCATGATTCCCTCTCATCATGAATGTTTCTCTCTCTCCCTCTCCCTTCCTCTCTGAAATCAATAAAAATAAATAAACATCTGTTTGGACTATGGTTGAGGAAAATAAGTAACCAATTCTAGATGAAAGGGCAAACCCCAGAGGAGCTCTTCCAGAGCTAATGTGGCTGGTTTATAATAAAAAAAAAAAAAAAAGATGTTTGGGTTTTAGTTGGAAGACCAATTCAAAATCACAACTGGTATTTATTCAGAATGATTCATTACCTGAAAGTGGATGCTGCATCTGGAAGAATTATGAGATGGCTAAAAGGGGAAACGAGGCAAATCATTAATCTAACACTGGAGGTCACCAGTGTCCTCCAAGGACATACATTCATGAACAGAAAATGCATCCAGTTTTCTATTAAATTCCCCCTCCACCCTCTCAGAAGTCTTTATTGGCTAAAATAATTCTAATCCAAATATCTAACTTTGGCCAGTGGCTTTTACCAAATCCTAAATCAGAAATTAAGACGTCAAATCAATCCATTTGACTTTTCATTTTTCGTTTTCTTGCCACTTTATTCAAGAAGAGATGTGAACGTGAAAGACTAAAAGGGGAAAAGTAAGGCCAGGAAAAGCTAATAGGCTAATCTAAGTAATCCACAGAAAGGGTAATTGGCCCTATATAATCAAAATTAAATGTTAATATAATTCAATACATCTAATAAAAGCATATAAAGGGGGAAAAATCCTTGCATAGGTAAAAGAGAAAGCACAAAATCCTTTGAGGATGCGGTCGACATAAAGCCATAATAAATCATTAATATCAGTAAGCTGTATGATTTCACAGATGTTCCCAAACCTGACTTCATGACATGAATAGGATACATTTTTATTGCAATGTATTTAGTAACTTTATTAAATGAAAAAGATCACACCAAAAATGGAAATAGACATGGAATCTGATAGTCTTCAAATTACTAGTAAGCCAAACTGATTTATGAGAAAGTAACTCTCTTTTTCATTCACCACTAAATGAGAATTCATTTGCATTTAAGAAGACTCATCTTAGCAAATATTGCCATGACAGTAAGAACTAGAAGGCAAACCAGTAAGCTTAGGCCCTGGCCTGGATTAAGAAGACCACATTTAATTAGGGTCCTTTCTCTAGGTCTTTCTGAGAAATTTCTATTTAACCAAAAAAGTTCCCCTTGGCACTAAGTTATTTATTCAGCTACACTTACTAAACACCTACCATTTTATCAGGGATTATCCTCAAACTTGAACTACATCAGTGAATAAGTGTCCATAAGGTCTAATCTAGAATTTACACAACTAAAGATTAAAAAAAAAAAAAAAAAGGCCCTACATTCTCATGTGTCCTGCTGATGGGCCATGGATGGGTGACTATACGTTACAGAAAGGCTAGAAGGTGTAACAGGGAAGAAAGAGGCCAAGAGCAGAGCTTTCTAATCCCCTTCTAAGTGCAGCCAAAGGTAGACAGGGGAGGGTGAGCTTTGGGGAATAAGAATTGCAGATGCTAATGAACAACATAAACTGATGAACAAAAACAGATCCAGAGACAGAGAAGGATCGATTCGACCTTCAAACCTCAGAGGGAAGGCAGGGGAGGGTGGGGGTAAGGGGAAGAGATCAACCAAAGGACTTGTATGCATGCATATAAGCATAACCAATGGACACATACACTGGGGTGGGGGTGGGAGTGAGGGCCCGAGCAGGGGGGTTGGGGGGCAGTGGGGGAATAAGAACACATATGTAATACCTTAATCAGTAAAGAAAAAAAAAGAATTTCAGATGCTAGAATGACTAGAAGCTGTTATTTAACATAAATGTGTCCAATCTAATAAGGTCCTATCCTCTTAGTTCACAAAGCAACTTCAATTTCAATACACTTGCTGCTGTGAGGCAAAGTTGGGTCATGATGTCCTATGGTAACTGGATGTTTGCCCTAATTAAAGATAATAAATCTAAATATAGGGACATTTCTGTACAGTTTAAAAACGGAAGTTCTGCCCACCTTGATCAACTTGTTTTCTGAATACCTTTAGTTGTTGGCTTAGTGGGGAAGACGGAGACGGAAAGGCAGCAGTTATAATGATTTTGGTTGGTATTTATTAAAATTATTTTTCTTTCTTGTAGAGAGAGATTCTAAAATAAAAAAAAACCATTCAAACTTCTGGGATCTCTCTTACCCATACAATCAGGACAAACACAGTAGGGCCAACCAAAAGTACCAGTCCCTTAAAGAATAATGTATAGTCCCCATGTGCAAGAGGTGGGTCACTCTGAAACAGGCTAGAGAATGCTAGAAATGCTTTATCAATACCGTCTCTACATGACTCATTTCTTTAAAATTAGCTTTCAAACATCAACCTATCAGGACCGAGATTGCCACCATCTACAGAATCAGTGGAATTGCATATTATATCCTTATCCCATTACTCATCCCTCAGTTATGCTAAGCAGCAAGCTACATAAACATCTGACAGCATCAACAACATACAGGTTTAATTATTTTCCCAATTTGCATTTATATCAGTGAACAAATTGGAAGGTATCAAAGTATGGCACTGAAGACATAATACATATTCAGCAGCCTGTCTTCCATTTTTGAATCCTGGTTTAAAATTGGCTAAGTAAAGGCATATACACCTCCATTTGAATTGGAGATTTGCAGTAACACATGCATATAAGGAAAGGAGGGAGTTCGGAAGAGGGAAGGAGGAAAGAAGAAAAGAAGGGAGAGACCATAAAAGACAGGGAGGAAAAGAGAAAAGAAACAGGAAAGAAGGTATGGTCTGAAGGTGACATTACTACACAAAGGAGGTGACAAATGACAACTGAACCTGCTTCCGCAAGCAGAAACTTTCTAAGGTTATCATTGAAGATACAAAAATGGTTCATGAGAGTTTTCATCTGTTGCTGTTTTCACTTATCATACTAAAAACCTACAAAACCCCAGGCCTTGGTCTGTCCAAGAAAGATAGTACCAGAAAGAGAAAGATGTGACCCGCTCAAGGGTTGTGCTCTGCTTGGAGCTCTGCACTGCAGTCCATGAATCCACAGTATTTTGGTCAGATCTGGTCCGTTTCCTCACACGTACTCATAGAGTCTTAGAGCTAATCTTTCATATCAGAATATTATATCAACCATTCTTGTTTTTTGTTTTTCAAATTTTTTCATTTACTCAAAGGGCAGGAAAGATGAGAAAATAGAAGAAAATGGTAAGATTTAGAGGGGAACATGAAAGGAAAGTATTCTCTTTTCCAACAAATCCACCCTAGAAAAGGTATAACAAGACTTTGAGAAAGAGTGCTGATTCATGGACTTCCCTTAATTTTTTTTTTTATTTCTATGAAATACATTTAAGGACATCAATGTACTAAAACATTTGGTCTGTGAAATAGCGGAATCATTAGCACCAAAAGGAGTCATGAGCTTGTATATATCATTAAAACAATAAATGTTAACTCTTGGTCATGGGTAAAGGTTTTTTCCATCTTTACATCCCAAAGTTCTTGAAAGTGCCTGTAGACAAGAGAAATAACACTTCAGAATCTCCATGGGGTCATCGACACGCACCACAGAGACAGTACTTGGCCTTCCCAGTTTTGGTTTATCTGGTGGACAAGAAAACCAAGGTCCCCAGAAGCCCTAAAGAACAGCCCCCACATGCACCCACTGGTGTGCAGGAGGGATTCCCCTGGACTGTGTTCAGGAATGCGCTTTTGCTTGCTTTTTTTAAAAAACAAAAGCAACATGCTCTGCAGGTCATGGAGCGCCTAGTGCAATCGTCTCCTTGCTCTGACTCCAGACTGCAAAAGGATGAAACCATTATATGTTCTGCTAATCCCGGCCTGTGGACTACGCCCTCGGCCTGCCATGCTTTGTAAACTCAGGAGTCAGAAGGTCTGAGAGCGGGAGCCAACATCGTCGCCAGATCTCCCCAGCAATTTGCGGCCCATTGGGACAGCTGATGATTCCTCTTGCTTCTCCTTGCCTCGGCCTTTAGTTGAAGTTACAACAAGTCAAATAGCTGATGCTTTTCCCTTCTCCAGGTAAGGGTGATGATACACTGTTCACAAGTGTGTTCTGCCTGGCTTCCCTGATGAGGCGACACGCCAAGTCAAGGAAGAGTTTCTCCACGTTATCCGATTCCTTGGCTGAGGTCTCCAGATAATACATGTCCTGGGCTTCTGAGAATTCTTCAGCTCTCTGCTGGGAGACCTCTCTCCTTTCAGCCAGATCAATCTTGTTGCCTAAAACAGTGGTAAAATCACAGACGGAATCATCATTTGACTTTTTGCAGGCTCGGAAACAGCAAAATTCAATTCCATATCTGAAGTCAAACCAGACAGATGGGCTTGGTAAAGCCAAGTAATGGGAGTATAATTACTGGAATGTTTATTTTAAAATACCAGTGCCATATGTAATGGCAAAGAACTGGAAACAGCCCAAATGTCCATCATTTAGGCACTGGCTAAATGCACTATAATAGACCTGTCCGTAGTTATTTGTCACTGTGAAAAGCAATAAAGAACCTGTCTATATGCTGCCAGGTGAGACACTAGGATATATTGTTAAATGAATAAAACAAAGTAGAAAAAAGTGTATATAACATACAACTGTATATCTAAGAACAAGGATGAAAAATATATACACAGTTTGTTTGCTTATTTTTAATGGGACAATAAACCATAATCTTAATTTTAAAGATAATGATTACCCATTAAAGGAATAAGGTTAATAAGCCTGGCCAGTGTGGCTCAGTGGTTGAGCGTTGACCTATGAACCAGGAGGTCGATTCCTGGTCAGGGTTGCAGGAGGTAGCCAATCAATGATTCTCTCTCATCATTGATGTTTCTATCTCTCTCTCCCTCTCCCTTCCTCTCTGAAATAAAAAAAATAATATATATTTTTAAAGGGGGTAGGGAGGAATAGGAGCGAGAACTCTCTAAATATACCTTATTTTATAAATTTGACTCATAATTTTATAAATGTTTTACATAATTATGTAATTAATAACTATACAATTAACATGGAATTGAATTTAAAAAGCAATTCCTAAAATTGAAAGCAAAATTAAACAAGTGAGCCTGTTTATCCTGAAGCAGCACAACCACACAGAGAAACGATTTCATGTGAGTTTAAGAGACCGTGATTTAACTATGCATCCCTAGTCACAGATACTACAAGAACAAAAAGAACTAAAGGAAAGAAATCTTAAATTCTTGCAGTAATCATCTTGTCAGCAGTAGTACAGGCATTGTTATTCTGAGGCTGCTATGTTTGTTGGGGATAAAGTAAGTGAGTGATTATGCAGGTGTCACCGGGACAGGGATTTTTGGCATGAGAAAAAGGATATACAGATGTAAGATTAACAAGGTTAAGTAAAATTTCTGAAGGTCTAAATTATACATGGAAGTACCCACATGAACAATTCATGGTGTACTTTATCTTTCCAACAATTTACCTGCAACTGAAATAGGTACCCTTGACTGGGAATCGAACCACAGGCCCTTTGGTCTGCAGGCCGGTGCTCTAACCATTGCTCAACCGGCCTGGGCTTAATGGATGTATTTGTTACCATAGAAAATCATGGGTTGTTTTTTGCTTTCCCCCCATACTAAACAGAGGTTTACTCTCCTACAAAATGAAATAAACTGCAGAATTTCCCTCAGTAGATTCTTTCAGAAAATTAAGAATTTCTGAAGTCAGCATAAATGCAAGAAGGGACAAAATTAGCCACAGTCCATTTTTTAGGCAAAAAACAATTGCTTCAATAATGAATTCCTTCTCAACTTAAGAGATACATTTTACTTCTAGACCAGCAGTTTCATGATCTCGTAATTAGATTTAAAATAATGTTTAGCAGCCCACATAACTTCATGGCAGTCTTATCTTCTTCCCTAGAGCCTACAATGATAGAAAAATCAATCAGCAATATTTTCTACTTTACTTTCCTAAACCATCACCATGGGATAGGACTTATTTAATTTTCTCTTCAATTGCAGAACTGAATGCTGGCTGACTGCTTGAATTATATAGCCGTAGATTATATTCTTGGAAGGTACAAAGATACAAGCTTTATGTGATTATACATTCTCTGATGCCCAAAAATAAATTTCCCTCCTCATTAGTCCTTACTTACCCACTAGCACAGTGATGACCTTGTTGCTGGCATATTGTTCTATTTCCCGCAGCCACTCAGGAAGGCAACGGAAGGATTCCTCACAGGTTATGTCATAGGTGAGGATCAAGGCATTGGCGCTTCGATAATAACTCTGAGTAATGGACCGAAATCTCTCCTGACCTGCTGTGTCCCAGATCTGAAGCTGTAAAGGCATACAAGAAGGATCAGGTTGGAGAAGCAGAAAAGAAAGAAAGCATTGCTTGACTTTAGTTTAGAAGTGGAAACACCTTCACCCAAATCATTTCATTGTTATTTTCAGCCCTAAGAAAAAAAGCACTTACAATTTTTATTTATTTATTTTTTTATCTGTTGTGTGTGTGTCTGGTTAGGGATAGGGGTTTGTTTAGTTTTTTGTTGTTTTGTGTGTATGTGTGTGTGTGTGTGTGTGTGTGTTTTCTTTGTTAGATTATTTAAAAGTTTCCCCTTTATTCTTTTTTAAAAATATATTTTTATTTATTTCAGAGAGGAAGGGAGACGGAGAGAGATAGAAACATCAATGATGAAAGAGAATAATTGATTGGCTGCGTCCTGCACGCCCCCTAATGGGGATCAAGCATGCAACCCGGGCATGTGCCCTTGACGGAATCGAACCCAGGACCCCTTAGTCCAAAGGCCAATGCTCTATCCACTGAGCCAAACCAGCTAGGGCCCCTTCATTCTTTTTTTCTTTTCTTTTCTTTTTTATTGAATTTATTGGAGTGACATTGGTTCATGAAAGCGTACAGGTTTCAAGTGTGCAACTCAACAAAGTATCATCTGCACAATGCATCATGCGCCCATCACCCAAGCAAAGTCTCTTTCCATCTCCATTTCCCCTCACCCTTTGCCCACCTCCGCCTACCTCCGCCCCTGTTGGCTATCACCACACTGTTGTCTGTGTCTACAAGCATGTATTATGTGTCAAGCTCCATTTCAAGCACTTTACATGTAATAACTCACTCAATCCTCACAATGACTATGAGGTAGGTACTTGAACTGTATCCAATGCTCACATGATGCACAAAGACATTAATTACCTTGCTCAACATCTCACAGCCAGTATGTTCCAGAGCCAATTCACCCGGCAGTTTGGTCCCAGAGTCCCTGCTCTTAACCACAATGCAATATTTAAGAGGCAGGACACAGGGAGAGCTGTCATTCAGTCAGCAATTGGAGAGGGAGAAAATCCAACTTCACCACCTTTTCCAGTTCAAAGTTCAAATGAATGTATTAAGGTATTATCTTTGTTCATGAAAACAGGAACAGTGCCACGGCAGACAAAAATAATAATTTTCTTCCACCACTTTTAAGCTCTGTGACCTTGAGCAAGTCACTTAGTCTCTTTAGGCTTCAGCAGTTTCTTTATAAAAAGAGGTTAATAAACCTGCTGAAAGTGCACATTTTCTGAAGTCATCTATCAGTTCTATGGCCTAATAAAATAACCAAAAAAGAAAGGCAAACACTTCTCACTTCTCCCCGAATTTCCCTGCACAGAATAGAAGATACTGAAAGACAACTGTCCTCCAGAGAGCCCACTGAGTCAGAACAAATCAGAAGACCTTGAGAAATAACAATGATAGTCTTCCCTTCTAATTGCATAAACTCCACACGTCGAGAAATGCAGTTTCACCCCCTATAAACAGAACATCATTTCCTCAGAGAAGGCCTCTGGCACCCTCGGATGAGGCAGGCTCCCCATCCCCAGCCCCATATTCTCTCCTGCAACCCACCCTGTAATTCTCACGGCACCTGACACATTTGAACGATTCACTTATCTGTAATAATTTGTTTATCAGCTGTCTGCCTCACTGAAATCTTCATGAGGGAGAAACCAGGGTCCATTTCACTCACAGTTTTCCCTGCATCAAACAGCATGTCTGGCAAATAATATAGAGTGTTCAGCTTTTTACGAAGATGGCGCCAAAAGCTAAGAAGGAAGCCCCTGCCCCTCCCAAAGCCGAAGCCAAAGCAAAGGCTTTGAAGGCAAAGAAAGCAGTGTTGAAAGGCGTCCACAGCCACACAAAAAAGAAGATCCGCACGTCACCCACCTTCCGATGGCACAGACACTTAGGCTCCAGAGGCAGCCTAAATACCCTCGGAAGAGCATGCCCAGGAGAAACAAGCTTGCCCACTACACCATCACCAAATTCCCCCTGACTACTGAGTCAGCCATGAAGAAGATAGAAGACAATAATACATTAGTGTTCATTGTGGATGTCAAGGCCAACAAGCATCAGATCAAACAGGCTGTGAGAAAGCTCTATGACATGAAGTGGCCAAGGTCAACACCCTGATCAGGCCTGATGGAGAGAAGAAGGCATATGTTCGACTGGCTCCTGACTATGATGCTTTGGATGTTGCCAACAAAATTGGAATCATCTAAACTGAGTCCAGCTGCCTAATTCTAAATATAAAAATTTTACACTGTAAAAAAAAAAAAAAAAAAAAAAGGGGGTGTTCAAATATGAATCGATGCTCTGGCCTAATCCTCACAGCAATCCAGTGGGTTAGGTAGGTTCATGCCTCCCCTTCCTGACCAGGAAACTCCACCTCCTAATGGTTACTCACAAAGCTGGGATGCAGACTGCAGGCCTTCTCGTTCCCAGCTGAGAACTCACTTCATACAACTGTGCTGTTTGCTCCCAGAGACTGATTTACATGGGCATCGGCATCCAGAGAGGCTGATGCAGGCAGGGTCACCCACTGCTCACACCAGTTTAGCAGAGGAAACTGAGTGGCCGGTAGCCCCTACCGCCAAACAGCAACACAAAGGCTCTCTGATTTGGAGTTGCAGCTGCTCTGTGACGGTGTACATGGAAGTGTGTGTACACTGAAGGCGACCATACAGATGTTCTGGCTTTTGCCGGGACAAAGGTTATTTCTCTCCTGCCCCAAACGTACTGACGTGGTTCCCCTCTGCCAGGATCTTAGAACAACAGACTATTGTTTTAGTGACTCATTGAGCCTCTAAAAACTCTTGTGATGGGATCTAACACTGTCAGTCAATAGAAAGCAGTGTGATCTCATGACTGGCACATCTTGAGAACAGCCTCAAGGATTAAAGCCATTGAAATATTTCCTAAAAGTGTAATTGCATTGCCTTGCCAAGATGCTTTCTCATAGGAGGCTACCCATTTCTAGCCTGACAGTTGATTCTTGAGGATATCCATATTCCATTGCCTTTATCTTTTAGTTCAGTTTTGCTATGCTCTCTGCAGTTTATTCATTCCTTCTCAGCATTTATAGCTCATTAATATGTGCAGGACACTGTACTAAGCACTGGGAGGATACAAAGATGAGTAAAACACAACCCCTGATCTCAAAGAGCTCACAGTCTGCAGGAAAGATAAACACAATATTAACTAACCATAATAACATATGAGATGTCCTTTTAAAGAGGCACCAGCAGGAGAAAGTGCCTCCTAGCGTTAGTCTCATGCCAGTCTGTTCTCATTGCCACAGCCAAGGGCTGACCACTCTCACCTCCGGCATGGGGCCAGGCTACTCACACCTCTGTTGCCTCACTGTCACAATAACCTACTGCAATCATTGGTTTACTAGTGTGTCTCCTTACTAGACTGAGTTCTTTAAGAGCAAGACTGTCTCTTACTTTATACCCCAGTGCCTTCCTAACAGTACGTGGTACACGGTGGACACATTTGAGTAATGGCTAGTGACAAAGGATTGTGGAATCACAAAAGAAGGATTAATTTTGTGTAGGATATTAAAGATGTTTTCATAGATAAAATGTTTGACCTAGGTGATAGGAAGTTACTAGGGAGCAAGGTGCTTTACCTAACATAGTGCTTGGAACAAAGCATCTACTATAATAGAGGACAGATAAATAAATGGATAGATGGGTGGTCGAATAAGCAAATATATGTGCATGCTTTCAAGACTTTCCTTTCTATGCAAAATACACCTGATTAGAGAGAAAAAAGTCTACTACTATAATTAATCTCCTAAAGTTAAAATGTGGTAGGCTAGCTTAGAGTTTTACTTATTATGCATCCTACATAATAAAAGCGTAATATGCAAATTGACCAAACGGCAGAATGACCAGGCAGTGGGAGGCAGGGCCAGCGAGCAGGCTGCACCAGGCCAGCCAAGGCACTTGCCAGCAGGCAGAGGGAGAGAACAGTGATGCAGGGGGAGGAAGCGGGGGCGGGGGGGGCTGGCAACCATCCGTGGTGAATGGGCGATTGGGGGGCCTGCCCAGTCACCTCCCACAGAGGGAGGCCACCAGTACAGCTGCAGTGGGGTGATGGGGCCAGCCCCGGGCTGATCCCACAGAGAAAGGCCAGGCGGAGGCCTCAGCGGGGTGATGGGGGCGGTGCCATCCCCTGATTCTGATGGGCCTGCCAGGTTGCCTCCGGCAGAGGGAGGCCAGACTGGCTTAAGCCGTCAGTAGGACATCCCCTGAGGACTCCTGGACTGTGAGAGAGTGTAGGCCGAGCTGAGGGACTCACACACACACACCCCCCCCCCGTTGCACAAATTTTGTGCACTGGGCCTCTAGTTTATTTATGATAGACTAAAAAAGATCAATGGATAGGAGAAAATTCTGTATGCTTTAGTTATATTTTCTGTGCAAGGTCACCTTCATTAATGCAGAGCACCTTAAGAAAAGGGCCTCTTGCTCAGTTTTGCCTTTATTGGCTTGGCACTTAACTTAATAGCTGTAAGACTCTTTCTAAAACTTTTTTATTTTCTGTCTTCAATCCTGGGAGCCATTTCAGAAAGAATGAGACTTATGGAGGATCTTGGGGGGTGATGAGAAGTCAGGAGAGAAACCTCGGTTCTCGTCCTGCCCTGCCACTCGTGGATTTCGTGCCGTTTCTGTTTCCCAGAGCCCCAGCTCTCCATCGCTAATGTATTTGGTGTAAATGTCTGCAGTGAGGAGACACTTGGGGGAGTCACTGCTGGCTGAGACACTGGAGAGCTTCTGTCCCTCACTCAGGAGCCTCATCCTCACACTCCTCTGTGTGTCTCTGGAATGCTACAGAGGCACCCTGGAGCCTCTCTGCCTTTCCCCAACCATTTGAGGGCAGGAATGCAGGTGCACACGAGAGATGCAAATGACAGGGACTCAAACTTGGAGTGCTTGGGTTGGGATCTAGCTGGGCTGATGCCACGGTTTCACTGTGCAGCTGCTGCCAGGGCTGTGGAATCTTTCCATGGGCCTCAGCTCTGAAAGACCTGACAGTGGAATTTCACTAACTCTCAGGAGCAAGTCTCTCTACCCTCCTTCCGTGTGATTCATCTCATTTCAATCTTTCCATCACCTTCTTTCTTTCCTTGCTCCAAGGTGACAAGCTTATTCTGCCTTCCTTCCCTTCTTCTTTCATGGCAGTGGAGACCCCGGGGAGGCAGTGGGGTGATTCAGATCCTGCCTATCTCCTACCTCCCTTCCTAACTGTGAAGCCACAGATAAATAAGTCACTCAGCCTCTCTGAAACCTAAAAAATGAAGATAATTTACTATATTTGCCTCACAACAGTTATAGTAAGGATTAAGTCAAATAGGATGACACACGCAGAATCACCTAGCAAAGTGACTGACACATACTGGGCACTTGATAGGCACCATCTCCCTTCTCCTGTTGTTGACACCATAGTTCTCACAGGTACCGAACTATCCAGAGGCCACAAAGGGGAAGGGAGAGGTCATGCATCCCTCCTGAACCCCTCATAGTATCTCTCCCTTGCTAGGAACAGGGGGATGATGGGAGACAGGAAATGATCCATGCGACTGAATGACCCATACATAACCAGTGTAGGCATCCACTGGCTCTTCATGGGCTGCTGTTCAGAAGAGGTAGCACCGCCTCCTGGCCCATCTCAGGAGAGAGATCCCAACAAGAAATGTCTGCCTTGTTTTTTAGCATCACCTCTGATGTGATGAAGACATTATAAACTTGCCTTAGCCTTCTTTCTCTGTCTTCCTATCTGTAAATGCATCATCTACAGCCCCTTCCTGCTCCCATAAAGGGAATGAGCTCTGTTGGGAAATAAGCTGCCGTGACTGAGTATATTATTTTCAGTGAGGGTTTCAATTAGGAGACACGACAAATGTTATGAAAACACCATTTCCTCTCACATAGCACAATGAAAGCCTTATTGAACACTTAGCATCTTACCTTTACTTTTTCACCATTAATCTCCACGGTCTTAATCATAAAATCAACTCCAATTGTGGCTCCTTGACCTGGGGGGAAAAGACCCTAAAGAAGAAATAATGGGAAATAATAATTAAGCAAATCTTACAATTACATAAAATTTTCCCACTTCCCCCACCACCAGTCCCTTCCTTTGGGTGAGTTAACCAACAGAAAAAAGAACCCTAGTTAGTGTCCCGGGAGCCCTGTTTCATTTAACTTTGCATGTATGTGTGTTTGGAAGGAAAGAGAAAAGAGGGAGGAAAAGGGAGAGAGAAATTCTGAAAGAAAAAGAAAGAAATGGAAAGGGGGATAAATAAGGGAGAAGAAGACAGAGGATGAAGGGAGAGAATCTGGAAAGGGCAGAGGTGGGGGATCTGGTTTCAAAAAATGAAACAAAAATATCAGACATAAGGCTAAGATTGAGTTGCATTGAGCCACTGGGATGAGATCAGGATTGTTAGGGGGAAGGCAAAATGGGTGGGTTCTCTAAAAGAGGTAAAATCAAGGAAGATTCAAACTAGTTCTCAATCTAGGGCATGGACATTCATGGGAGTGGTCAACAGAGAAACAAGAGGAACACAGTATGAGAAAAATGAACAAGACAATGAAGCTTTTGGATTTCCCCCTGCCCTCAGGGTGATAACCATATTATTGCATGAGATCAGGGCCAATGATACTGGGAAGATAACTGAAGAAACCAGTCATTCAGGGAGAAAGACCAGTAGAAGTAGCACTAAACCCACGGAGGTAACAGCCTAGGATCTCTGTTGACTTCAGGCAAACTAGTTACCTAATCTGGGCCTCAAATCCAGTGAGTTTGAGGCTGATGTAAGCATTTCAAAACAAACCAAAAAAAAAAGGTTTATCGCAAACTGGAAGCTACAGTAGATTCTGTCAAAATCACGTGTGTAACGTAATTGACTGTTACATAATATTCCTGTAAGCTTAGGGAGGAAGTTCTATCAAGAAAGAACACTTCACCTAGTTTCTCTTCCCTCGTCACTTACATTCCAGAATTTCCAGAAATTACAGTAAAATGGATTTTATTGGCTCTGGCAGCTAAGATTGGGCCATCTTTAATTAAATCCATTCCTTAACAAGAGAAATCTTTAATTAATGTTTAATCTTAAAAGACTGAGCTTCAAAACAACAGAAAATGTTCCATTGCATGTCTGCAAAAGATGCAAACATAAACATTCATAACTTTACTTACAAATATTGAATCAATTTTCTTCTATTTTGGTTTGGCTCAAACATGAGGCTGCCAAGCTTCAAGTTTACAGCTCCAGCTGTTTTGCAGTCTAACAAATGCCACAAAATATAACAAATCCTTTGCAATGTCTCCTCCCCTCACTTCGCTCCCCAACTCCTCCTGCCTCAGAAACAGCTGAATCCAATTCATTTTAACTGTCTACTAAATAACAAAACCACACATAATCCTGTCTATGAAATGTGAACCTTAAGGGGGACCTAAGGGGCCAGGAGGGGTAAAAAGTAAGCACATCACCTACTGGTAAAAATCTGTTAAAAAATGCATGTGTTTGTTTGTTTGTTTTTTACCTCTAATGACAAAGTTTATGCTTTTAAAAAGAAATGCAAGATGCCTATGGTTTCAGAGGTTAGAACATACAGAAGATAAAAATGATCAGGCTGAGAACCAGGAGACCTGGGTCTAATACTAGCTTTGCCACTAACATTGATATGTGATACTAAGAAGTCATTTCATCCCTCTAGACCTGAGGTTTTCACCCATAAAATGAGAGGAGTGGGCTCTTTAAGGGACCTTTTGGCAATAAGAGATGGTCAAAGGAATGACTGAAAACTTCTCTACATTTCTGCAGTCTTGTCCTCCTGCCAAAAGCAGGAAAAACTGCTAATGTTGGGAGGAAGTAAAACCAGTTGGAGTTTCCAATATGACGCCACAGTGGTTTTGACTGAGGGGAAGCTTGTTACTTTTGACTTCATAAGGCTGAGATTTAGCAAAAAGCACAAGACCTATTGTGTTCACTGTCATGGGGAAAACCCTGACATTTCCAAAGGTGACTCTCTGTCCCAATGCTGTTTGTCTTATCCAATCTGCCTCTCCAGGTTTTCCCAGAACCACAGACTGTTATTGCTGTGAGGGGCCTTGAAGATCACCAGGCCCCTCATGTCCATCAGGAAGGCAGGTGGGGAGTAACCTACCCGGGCTCATAGATGAGCCAAGGGCAGAGCTGGCATAAGGACCTGCGTCCTGACTCTCAAGCCAATGTCCTTTCCATGGCACCAACTTGCTCTATGCCTCAGATAAAAGAGCTAGTCTCAACTTGCCCAACTAGCACTTTGTGAAAACTGCAAGATGCATGCATGATAATCCCAAAAAGGATGCCATTCATATCTTTTCCGGAAAAACACAAAAGAAGGTCAACCTCAGAACAATTTCCCACAATTTCTGTATAAAACCAAGTATATAATCTCTGGCAATAATTCTCAAAATGGCAGCCCCAAAGGGAATTTGTACTTAGATCATAAGATAAGGACTCAACCCAGAGCGGACATTTTATTTAATTCAAGTAGTCCTTCACTGTTCTCAATTCATTCCCATTTAACAGATCTAGAAAAATCAGCATATTTGGTTCTGAACCAAAACAATTCCCTCCATTTTCTGGGGGACTTGAGAATGCAATCTAATTGGTTTAATTTGTATTTGAGTTTCAACAATTGAATATAAAAATTAAAATAAACAAACAAGGAATCTAATGAACAAAATAAACTGAATAACATAGAATCAGAGGCATGGAAACATGGGACAGACTGACGGAAGGAAGGGGGGAGAAGGGGTGGGAAGACATTAACCAAAGATCTTATATGCATATATGCATTACCTATGGGCACAGACTATAGGGTGGTGAAGGCCTAGGATAGGGTGAGAACTGGATGGAGGGAGGCAATTTGGGGGGGGGGGGGCGGGGAGGGGACATCTGTAATCCTCTCAATAAATATTTTTTTTAATATATTTTATTGATTTTTTACAGAGAGGAGGGAAGAGGGGGTAGAGAGTTAGAAACATCGATGAGAGAGAAACATCGATCAGCTGCCTCTTGCACGCCCCCTACTGGGGATGTGCCCGCAACCAAGGTACGTGCCCCTGACTGGAATCAAACCTGGGACCCTTGAGTCCGCAGGCCGATGCTCTATCCGCTGAGCCAAACCGGTTAGGGAATAAAGATTTTTTTTAAATTAATATTTAGGTTTAATTTGATATCCAGATTCATTTGTTTCCTCCTTTGGATTATTATTAATTAATAATCTATCTATTAATCTAATAATTTGTTTTTTAAATCCTCATCTGGGGATATGTTTATTGCTTTGAGAGAAAGGAAGAAAGGGAGGGAGGGAGGGGAAGAGAGAGAGAGAGACTCAATGTGAAAGAGAAACATTGATCAGTTGCCTCCCATATGCACTCTGACTGAAGATCGAACTCGAAACTTAGCTATGTGCCCTGACCAAGAATCACATCCAAAATCTTTTGGTGTACGGGATGATGTTCCAACCAACTAAGCCACCCGGCCAGGGCCTAATCATATATTTCTGATGCCACACACTGAAAACAAAACTACTTGCCCCTTTTCATTAAAAGAAGCAACAAGACCATGGGAGGGTGGTGGTGACCCAGAGAGCCATGCTTCCTTGAGGTGGTTTAAAAGCTTTAGCCTAGCCCTAACCGGTTTGGCTCAGTGGATAGAGCATTGGCCTGCAGACTGAAAGGTCCCAGGTTGGATTCCGGTCAAGGGCATGTACCTTGGTTGCGGGCACATCCCCAGTAGGGGGTGTGCAGGAGGCAGCTAGTTGATGTTTCTCTCTCATCGATGTTTCTAACTCTCTATCCCTCTCCCTTCCTCTCTGTAAAAAATCAATAAAATATATTTTAAAAAAAAAAGCTCTAGCCTAGGCTACAAAGCTGGTGCTCTTTCAAACGGAGCATTAATAACTGGCAGCCAAGAACCTGGCGTGGGGCCAGTCACCTATCCTGTTATTTCTCCTAACCCCACAGGCCACACCGAGAAAGCCAATCTTGGACTTCCGAGTTCTCTTACCTGAGTGAATCGTCGGACTAGGCACGTCTTCCCCACACCAGCATTGCCAATTAAAACAATTTTAAACAGGAAATCATAATCTTCCATACTCATTTACACAGCTGCAAGGCAAACAAACACAGGCAAGAGTGAGATGGGGCCTGGTCAGACTTGCCCACAGAGCTGAAGCTGCGCCGGCCCTGTCTCCTCGGGAAAAGCGGGTCTGACTCATTTGAAGAGCAATTTAATGCTCCCCTCTGGTGACTCTGCCGGCGAGAGAGGAACACAGGTGTTTGGTCACAGATGGACTTTATTCCTCCCCAGCCACCTCAGACCACAGAGAGTAAATGACACACATGTTCTTTCGCCTGGTAACCTTTACACTTCCAAGTAGTCAGGTCGCAGGTCGCTCGTGTGATAAGATGTGTTTTCACATGGAAAGGAGATTACAGGTCTATGTGCAGAGAAGCTGGGGTGCAAGGCAGCAAGGCAAAGGAGAGCCCATCTCTTTCTCTCTGAATTTCTCACTGATCTTCCCCAAATATAAGTTAAACACCTTCTTCATTCCTCTGTCCTAAACTTCACTTACTATATACAGTTATTTGTTCAAATGTCTATCCTATCCTTGAGGAAAGGGCTTACATCTTTCAGCTCTATTTTCCTAGATCATGGGACAGAGTTACACCTAGTAAATGACGCCTCTAGAATGAAATAATTCATTAATGGTCATATTGCTTAAGTTATAGCCTTAGTTTCTCCAACTGTGCTAATAAGAATACTATAGCTCTACTTCAGAGGACTGTTGTGAAGGTTAAAAAAAAAACCCACTATATAATAGAGACTTAGAATCGATAATTCCCCATCCTAGTGAAAATAATTGTAGTCTGTTGAGTACCTACGATAGTACTGTGCTAATCACCAAACAGAGATCTCTGCCCTCGAGACCAACATGACAAAAGCTAAACAACAACAACAAAGTTCAATTCAATTCCAATCAGTAACAGAGCTCGTTTCATAAGGTGCAGGCAGAACAAGCCTGGTGGACTCTGGAGGAGGAGGGAAAGGGTGACAGCAAGCCATGAGGGGAAGGATGCTTGGAGAGCTAGAGAAGCCTCAGCCAGCTGGGGAACAAATGACTCAGGGCTGCGGGACAGAAGCAGAGCCCACTGTACTGTCACCTGTCAGATAGCAAGAGGAATAAGTTCCCTGTGTGCAACGGTGTGTTCTCTATGGATCTTAATTTCAACTGGTTCTTGGAAAGATGACTTGACAACCAGGCCAAATGCAGCTGGCAGCTCATTTGGGATTCTGTCTCAGTTCAGGGGACCATGAAAGGAAAACATTACTCTGTCAAGAACCTGGGTTCATAAGAAGTCATTGTACTTGCTATATGCCAGGCAAGGTACTTGGCACCTTACGTATATTTTCATTTGTTCTCATAAGTCTATGTGGTGTGTATTTATGTTCCCTACTTTACAAGTGAGTAAACAGAAGATAAAGGAAATTAAGAGGATAGCCTGAAGTCATCAAAAGAACTCTAGCATTGGAGCCAGAGAAACCTAGGTTCACACCCTGACTGTGCTGCCTTTTAAGTCTGTGCCTTGAAGGCAAGTGAAAATTTTTTAGAGTCTTAACTTCACCACCAGCAAAATGGGGTTAATAACACCTAGACCACAGAGTTATGATGCTTGAAGTAATTAATGAAAAGCCCCAAGGACAGTATCTGGCTCTTAGTCACCCCAAATCCTCACTGTGACTCACACACTTTCCATGGTCTGGTTTCTGCCTTCATTATTGTCAGCACCATCTCTGCCCATGCTGTAGGCTCACTAGATTTTTTTTTTAATTGATTTCAGAGAGGAAGGAAGAGGGAGAGAGAGATAGAAACATCCACGATGAAAGAGAATCATGGATCGGCTGCCTCCTGCAAGTCCCCACTAGGGATCAAACCCACAATCCAGTCATGTGCCCTTGACCGGAATCGAACCCGGGACCTTTCAGTTCACAGGCTGACACTCTATCCACTGAGCAAAACCGGCTAGGGCTCACAAGATTTCTTCAGTTTCTTAAACACCACACAGAATGCAACCTTCCTCACCACTCCCAGCCCAGGTAACTTTTATTCCTCCCTTAGATCTCAGATTAAACATTGTTCTCTCTAGTGTGCTTCTCTGACCTATGAGGGGGGCTGGGCACCTGCTATATGCTTCCACAATACCCTTCTCCTCTCCTTTGGTAGTACTCATCATGCTTTACTGTATTTAATCATATACATCTGTCTCCAACAGCATGTCTCAGCACCTCGGCCACATACACACACACACACACACACACACACACACGACTGTGAGCAACATGAGAGTAATGAAGTTGTTCAGTCCTGATCCCAACCCATCCCCATCATCGTCATTTCACTCCATATTATTAATTCATTTCATCCTCCAAACGATCCTATCTGCTGGACACTATTAGCAGCCTAACTTGACAGATGGGGATACTGAAGCAGAGGAGAAGGTAAATAAAAAGTTGTTAAGACCTCACTTAAGTTGTTAAGACAGCCTGGGTTCATTTCCCTGAACTACTGCCCTGTAGTGCCTTTCACAGTACCTGGCTCATAGTAGGAGCTTAAGAAAGATCTGACACATTAAATGATGAAGGGTAAGCACTTAAGAAACATGTGATTTCCGTTCTCTCTCTGGCTTCCAATCCAAAACTCTTTTCCACCGCACTGTGGTAATCTAAATAAGAATCAAGGTCAAACTCTGAACAAAAACTCACAGACAGAGTATGTTCATTAAAACACAAGCTGTTAACAATGAAAAGAAAAGAAAACGCAGAGACAGCACAAGGATAGCAGAAAGATTTGAGGTTCTGTGGACCACCCACGGACCATAGCTCCCTGTCTTCATGAGCCTATAAACAGGGAACACAGGATGGGGCTGCATTCTTTTTCTGAGCTTAGAACTGTTTGCCACACATTTACTTCTCCATCTTTGGCAGAGGCCAAAGAAACAAGCAGAGAATCCAGAGATCAGCATCCAAATATAACAACCTGAGGAAGAGGGCTCCTAAGAGAAGGTTAACAGTGCCCAAATCATACCCCTTCAGGAAAGGAAGGCAAATGTTACCTGGTCCGAGTCCACGGTCATCATCAAGTCTCATGTAGTTACCACCTGGAGTGAGCCACAGAATAAAAATTAAGGCCCTTCTCCTTTCTATAAGAAATTATTTTAATGCTCTATTGAATTTTTTTTTAAATAAATATCTGGGAGGAAAGTGTTTGGACTCTTTAAAAATGCAGGCTAAGGCTGGACTGTAAACTCCAGGTTACCTGCTGTGGTTACTGTTTTCTTTCCAATAGAAAACACAAGGCTGAGTGAAAAGCTCACACAATTCTCTGGAAACTGCACTCTGAGGAAGCTCTTCCGCTTGGTAAATAATGTAACAGCTCAGGCATCACCGATCACCAGGTGATGAGGCAGCTTCCCAGGAAGGGAAACCCATTCAGAAGCAGTCAGTTACACCCATCCCTAAACGGGCAGCAAAGTCACACCTTGTCTGGGAAGCAAGCACCTGCCAAGACATGCCACTGGCCAGGTGCTACTCTAGAAACTGTATATTCTATTATTGATGATGATGATCGTGATGATGATGATGATGATGATGATGGCTGACACTTACTCAATGTTTGTGATGTGCCAGGTTCTGTTCTACAGGTATTCACTCATTTAAGCCTCACAACAATCCTACAAGGGAGGGACTATTATCATCCCTGGCTTTCAGAAGATGAAACTGAGGCAGAGAGGTTGTGCTAAAGATATACAGCTAGTTAGTCTTAGGACCAAGATTCAACCCTAGACCCATCAAACTCCAAAGCCCAACTCCTTCCAAAGTAGATGCCACTGTCCCTTGCCTCATGGTTAATAGCACTCTATCTGTCATGAGGGCTGAGGCTCAGGTGAATGGAAGCCCAGCCCCTTTGAACTACGGTGCTCTAGGATCTCCCCGCTCTGGAAGCAGCACCCCACACTGATAGGTTCACACACTGATTCCAGATCTACAAGCACTATACCTCACTGTGCCCTCCGAGCTCAGGTTTCTTTTAGGAGCTGGACCCAGACTTCTCCCCGCACAGGACGCCCACAATTCCGTCATCGTTCATCCATGTAACCAAGTACCAGGCACCGGGGATAGAGACAGGACCACGACTCAGATAAACAAGCAAAACCCCAAATGACATGATCGCCACAATAGCGCTAAATAAATGGAGATATGCCTAAGGTTCAAAACAGGAAAATTAGACAAAGGAGAGAAAAAATGAGTTTAAAAAAGATACATGAACCTTGTACTTTGCAAAGATTAAAAAGAAGAAAATTTGGGGGTGGGGGGGAGAATGGGAGCGGCTAATGGAGGAAAATACTTTCAACAATAAAGATTTAAAAAAAAAAGACAAGAAAAAAATTCTGGGCAATGTGATTTTGGCAACATAAATCATTTATCAAAGTGACCTTTTAAAAACAAAACAAAATTGTTTTCACCGTTGTGCATCAGAACACTTCCCCCTTGTCCTTCTGGTCTAATATAACAGATAAAGTCAAGGCTTCTGGTGAATAAAAAGCAAAATCCCTGTCCTGCCTTCTGATCCCCAGCCCCTGCCCAAGAAAAAGATAATTTGAGGACGTGTCCTTGTTCAAAAACCATGTGCCTCACTCAGGTCCTTTCCCTCTCCCAGTCTCAACTGAGACTCTGTAAACTGGAGAGGGGGGAGCAGGAGGAAAGGGTTGGGTGGACAGGTGCCACTACCCTCCCCAGGACAGCCATTCTCTCATACCACACAGGCAGCAAGACAGTGAAATCAGGAGACCCGAGTCTGCTGCAGAGCTGTGTTAAGTTTCCTCCTCCATAAAATGGGGATACTATTAGAGCCTCGATCACTGAATTGCCTGGGAGGCAAATAAAATAATACGTGAAATAGTGATCCTTTTTAAAATGAAATAATCACATTTTTAACCCTCTGACAAGAGTCATATATACAGATTACAGGACATACAGCCAAACAGAAAGGAAAGAAAATCACTTATAATCTTTCCCTCCCCATACCTCCTCCTGGGGATAAGGACAG